AGAGACGAATTAGTGCCTATCCTTCACAAACTCTTCCAAAAAATTGAGAAGGAAGGGACAATACCAAACACGTTCTATGAAGCCAATATTACACTAATACCAAAACCGAATAAGGACAACACAAAAAAGGAAAACTATAGGCCAATCTCCCTAATGAACACTGATGCAAAATCCTCAATAAAATTTTAGCTATCAGAATCCAACAATGTATCCATAAGATAATTCACCACGACCAAGTTGGATTCATTCCAGGGCACAAGGATGGTTAACATCCGAAAATCAATCAACGTTATCCAACACATCAACAAAAAGAAATATAAAAACCATATGATAATATCAATAGATGCTGAGAAGCTTTCGACAAAGTGCAACACCCATTCATGATAAAAGCCCTTGAAATTCTTGGGATACAAGGAACATACCTCAACATCATAAAGGCCATCTATGACAAGCCAACAGCCAGTATCATTCTCAATGGTGAAAAGCTGAAAGCAATTCCATTAAGATCTGGAACAAGACAAGGATGTCCACTCTCACCACTGCTTTTCAATATAATACTGGAAGTCCTAGCCAGAGCAATAAGACAAGAGAAAGACATCCAAGGAATCCAAATAGGAAAAGAAGAAGTCAAACTATCACTATTTGCAGATGATATGATAATATACATAGAGAACCCCAAAATCTCCACAGAAAAACTAATTCAACTCATCAATCAATTCAGTAAAGTGGCAGGATACAAAATCAACACGCAAAAGTCAGTAGCCTTCCTATACACAAACAATAAATCTGAAGAAGAAGAAATCAAAAAAACCACCCCTTTTATTATCGAAACAAAAAAAATCAAATATTTGGGAATAAATCTAACAAAAGAGGTAAAGGACCTATACAAAGAAAACTATAAAACACTGTTAAAAGAAATAGAAGAAGACACAAAGAAATGGAAAGACATCCCCTGCTCATGGATTGGAAGAATAAACATTATTAAAATGGCCATCCTACCAAAAGCAATATACAGATTCAATGCTATTCCAATCAAATCTCAATGGCATTCTTCAAGAAATAGAACAATTATTGATGAAATTCATATGGAATCACCAAAAACCCCGAATAGCCAAAGCTCTACTGAAAAAAAAAGAAGGAAATGGAGGCATCACACTCCCAGACTTCAAACTATACTACAAAGCCATAATCATCAAAACTGCATGGTATTGGAACAAGAACAGACATACAGACCAATGGAATCGAATAGAAATCCAGAAATAAACCCACAGATTTATGGTCAACTAATCTTTGACAAAGGAGCGAAGACTATGCATTGGAGCAAAGAAAGTTTGTTCAATAAATGGTGCTGGGAAAACTGGGTCGCTACATGCAAAAGAAAGCTTGACCACTACCTCACACCATACACAAAAATCAACTCAAAATGGATTAAAGAACTAGACATAAGACCTGAAACCATAAAATACATAGAAGGAAATATAGGCGAAACACTACGGATTTGCACATCAAAGACATCTTTACAGACACATCACCCAAAGCAGTGATAGTGAAGAGAAAGATAAACAGCTGGGACTACATCAAATTAAAGAGCTTCTGCACAGCAAAAGAGACAATAACAAAAACAAAGAGAACCCACCAACTGGGAGAAATTTTTGCACCCAACACTAATGATAAGGACTGATCACAAAAATCTGCAAAGAGCTGATGAGACTCAGCAACAACAAAGAAAATAATCCAGTCAAAAAATGGGCAGAAGAGCTAAAAAGAAACTTCTCTGAAGAGGAAATGCAAATGGCCAACAGACATATGAAAAAACGTTCAACATCACTTGTAATCAGGGAATGCAAATCAAAACTACCATGAGATACCATCTCACACCAGTGAGAATGGCACATATTAAAAAAACTAGCAACAACAAATGTTGGCGAGGATGTGGAGAAAAAGGAACTCTTGTGCACTGTTGGTGGGAGTGCAAACTGGTCCACCACTATGGAGAGCTGTGTGGAGATTTCTGGACCTACTAAACATAGAGCTTCCATATGATCCAGCAATTCCACTCCTAGGTATTTACCCAAAGGACACAGAAACATCAATTCCAAAGAGCACCTGCACTCCTATGTTTATAGCAGCACTGTTTACAATAGCTAAGCTTTGGAAACAACCCAAATGCCCCAAAATAGATGACTGGATCAAGAAGATGTGGTACATATATACCATGGAATATTACTCAGCATTCAAAAAAGATAAACACATGCAATTTGCAGCAACATGGATGGCACTGGAAGGGATCATGCTCAGCGAAATAAGCCAAAAAGAAAAAGAAAAATACCGGATGGTCTCACTCATAGCAGGAATCTAGAAAACTTAAATAAGGGACCAGGAAATGAATATAAGAAAGTGAAAATCAAAATCAACAAAAACTATGAACCAGAGACACTTTTTGGGGGTGTGGGGCGGGAGGGGAAGGATTGGGTCAGAATGGGGCGTTTGCAATTGTATGGGGGAATATAAAAATAAAATTTAATATTTAAAAAAAAAAAATAGATCTATTAAGCAATCCAGCAATTTCTTTTCTAGGTATATCCCCAAAGAATGCAACAGCACTAAATTGAATGCATTCATGTGTTCATTGCATCACTATTTACAATAACCAAGTTATAGATACAGTCTTATTACTCAAAGACACATGACTGAATTAAGAAGAACTGGTATATATGTACAATGAGATAAGTTTATACAGTACCAGCCACTTCCAATTTTATGGTAATATTTTGAACTTTATCACACTGTGTGGGGGTAACATTAAATTATTATTGAAAAATAAGACAAATACTATATGATTTTACTCACTTACCTTTTGTTTATAGAGTTGAATTTCCTCAGTGTCCCTGCTGTCATAGTTAGTGTTGATCTCTGATGTTTAGGAGGTGCTCCGGTTTTGCCCCAAGTCACAGGTTCCTCTGAACTCAGTTCTCCCCAGGACCACCTTAGATTATCCTCCCAGGAGCTAAGCAGATTCTTTCACCCACTCTTCAGCAAATACTTCCTTCAAGGGTCCATAGAAACTGTTTTATACCTGCATAGTCCTTAGCATTAAGTAGTAGACTTCAAAGTATACTACAAAGAGTAGAATTGAGATCCCAGGAACAAACCCACATTTATATGGACACTTAGTCTATAACAAAGGGCCATGAATATACATTGGAGAAAGGAAAGTCTCTTCAACAAATGGTGCTGGGAAAACTGGACAGTCACGTGCAGAAAAATGCAGTTAGATCACTCATGCCATCCACAAACATTATCAGAAAATGGAATATAGATTTGGATGTCATATCAGAAACCATAAAATGCATAGAGGAAAACAGGCAAAACACCTCACATTGGTTTCAGAAATTTCTTTTTAGGGCTTGACCCGAATGGTAAGGAAAATACTAATGTATTTTCATATTTATTATATGATGCTCATAAACTACAATATCCTCTCACTACTTTGTTTTTCCCATTAACACTGAGCACTGTCTGACTAAAATGAAGGTTCTTTAAGGGTATAAGGGTAGGTAGGGACTCTTGTCTGTGCTGTTCAGTGCCCTGAGTGCTTATCTGGGACATTGTCTAGAATGTATTTGTTGAAGTAGTGAATGATGGAGTAAGTGAAATTCTCTGTACCTTAAATCTTAGAATTCCTTTCCGTGATCAACACTTTAACTGAAACTGTTATTGACTACCAACTGATAATCATTATGCTAGGCACTGGGTGTAGAATTTCTAAGTTATAGTTTGATTTATTTCTAATTTATTTTGTATTAAGTAGTTTGCTGTTATAATTATTCTGGAAGTTATATGATATGACGGGCTTTTTGAACCTTTTGAACATGTAACTTGGCTCTTAATGAGTAGTTAATTCTGGTAGTTTCATACTCCTACTTTGGTCATTGTGTTCAAATACTCTGTCATTAATTATATTTTACTTTTGTTTAGATATAATTCGTCTCACCCTTTTGAGTTGAGTTTCTGACCTTAGAATCTCTGATAAGTCTATTTGTCATTTATCCTCTAGGTCTATCTAAGGTCAGAAACTTTTGTAAAGATAATAAATATGTTGCTGTGTTGTAATATTTTGCATCCACCTATAACTTAATATCTGATTGTGATTTGATAGTGTTAGGAAATTGATCCAGCAAGACCTCTGTGTGTGATATTACCAAAAGCAGAGATAAGAAAAGCTGTTAGTTTCAGCAGTTATGTTCCTTTTCTTTCTTCTTTAATATGGTGTTATTTTTGAAATGTGAAACATTTTTCTAGTTCTCCATATGTTGAAGAGAATCTTAGTTCACTTTCAATGTCAAGATGAGATTATGTACAAAATTGGGGAAATAGATTCTTAGTGTATTTTTAGTTGGAATACACCCAGAGTTAATTTGTTTTAAAGAGGCATCTTAAAAAAATTATACATGAAATGACATAACTTTCGTACTTAGTTCCTGTTTCTAAAATGTAAAATTTAGAATTAAATTTTTTTTTATGTATTTTGTGTACCTGTTTCCAGTAACTGATTTTTGTTTTGAGTGGGAGGCTTGCAAATTTTATAACCTCTACTTAAATATATTCTTAAATGCCTCTGAATAAAATATAAACATGAAAATAGTAACTATTCTATGCCTAAATATTACCTGATAAGGCATTCTTTTCATGGAGAAAGTACTACTTAATGTTCTAGGTTCCTCATAATTTTCAGTGGTTTTTGTGTCAACAAAAATTGTAGTATTTCATGATAACTTAGTTTACATGAGTTTATACCTTATAGCCATCTAATTTAAATCATTAATTTGGTCTTTATTTTTGGTGGAGGAGAAACTTATTGATGAAAGAGAATGTCACTGTGTTTTAATACCTTTATCTGTCTCTGGGTTTAAATTCTTCCTGGTCTTACAGAAATGTTGAAATTTTTATATAATTAGAGCTTATAACATATATTAATGATTTTCCTTTTTCTTTCATAGGATGAAGTGGCACACACTCTAACTGAAAGCAGGGTATTAAAGAACACTAGACATCCCTTTTTAACAGTAAGTGACTAGAGGACAGATATATCATCCTAACATTTAAAATTAAGGGGCTTTTTATTACAGAAACTAAGTTCTGAAAAATAACATTTTAGATAGCATTCATTTAGTTATGCCATATTCTTTGTGAAAATAATATAAGTTGTATATATTTGAAGATATTGGGATGTTTGGATTAAGTTTAAAATATGCATGTATATGTAATCCCTTCCATTGCATACATATTAAATTTTGAGACGTTTTTCTTCCAAGAATTTCACTGCCTTAGAAAAACAAGTACCATAGAGTAAAAGACTGATCTATGACATTTTAAGTAGACCACTGAGAAAATAGTAGGCTTAAAAAAGATTCCTTGTATTAAATGTGAATTTTTATATACCTTTTGTTTATTGACTTCTGATAGTTAAATGTTCAGGCAGCATTGTCTTTACCATGAAAGGCAGAAATCTTTACTTAATATTTAGTATAGCTATAGAACACTTAATAGCAATCAAATCGAATAGAATACTTTTAGAATACTTTTAAAGCAACAGAATAATTTTATAACAATTGAATATATTCACTAGACTTTCAGATGTGGGGAGAACCTTTTAAAGATTTAGAATTGAAGTTAGAATTTTCAGAGGTATCATCAAATACCTAGGCTTATTGCATTACTACTTTATTATGATTGTCATCCAGTGTCATAAATTTTGCTATCTTTACAACCTTCCGATTTACATGAACAGACTGTTGGGTGATGTTATGCATGACTTAGAGCAAAGAGTGATATTGACACTGTATTAGGAAACCTGACTATAAGTACTATAACTGTTTTCTTAAAGTTTCTGATACAGTAATTTGTATATCTTGCTTTCGGGTCACATGGACAAGAACTCTAGTTTCAAATAGATAGCACAATAGATTGAGAAGTACTTGCTATACTGTTTATTTTTACTTAAAATTGTAGTTCAAAATTTTCCCCTAATGACACCCATGGTTGATTGAAACAAAATATGTTTTATGTTCAGAAACTCTTAAGGGAATGAAGAGATTCTAAGGAATAGTAACCATTCATTTCACCTGTCAGGCTTGCTGTTTCTAAGTTTTCTATTTTTGGTACCATTATAAAAAAAAAGGGCTTATAAATTAAAAACTTTTTCTCTTTTTTATTTCTAGTCCTTGAAATATTCCTTCCAGACAAAAGACCGTTTGTGTTTTGTGATGGAATATGTTAATGGGGGAGAGGTGAGTAAATGGGGAGTAAATGGGGGAGAGGTGAGTAACATTTACAAGTATGATTTAAAAATCACTTTATTCAGAATACATAGGGTTTATGATGATTCTTACAGTGTCCTTACTCAAGTTTTTGTTAAACTTGTAAAAGTATTTTACCCATTTTAAATGTGATTGAATAGTTCATAGGCCCATTGTAGCAGTTTTCTGTTCTACATAGTAGAGTAACCTTACCTATATTTAAGAATTTTTAAGGGATCTTGTCACTATGAAGAGAAACTAAATCATTTTATTTTTAATTTTTACCTATTCATTAATTGCTTATCCTTTCTCTTCCCAATTTCTCATCAAAATCAATGTGAAGAGAAAATGTAATTAACTTGAAATATCTACATCGTGGACTTTCTGAAGTAAATTCAATCATTTGATATTTAATTCTATTATAAATTAATCCTATGATACGTTTTTATGTCATAGATTTGCAAATACCTTATTTTGTAAGAAAATTGGATAACCTTTGTAGAAAATTTTATGTGATTTATAAGGATTATGTGATTTATAAGGATTCATTGCAAATTCATTGGATTAATTAAATACATTTTAAGTAGCATACGCAATATGGTATTATCAAATGTATTATTAAGACTTTATCCTTAATATGAAAGAGTTTACAGTTTATCTTATGAATATATTAAAAATCAAATTGTATAGTGAATGACTAAATACTGTAAGTTCATAAGATCCTTTTTGAATGATCTAGCATTTATTGTGGTCCTTCAATACCTAGTGAGATTTCAACAGGCAGCTGATTTGGAAAGATATTTCTGGCAGGGGAGGTGATATGAGCAGAATCACTGGTGGGTGAGCATAGAAAAAGAACTTGAGTAATTAATTATAGTTCAAACATTCAGAACTGGGCCCTTGCAATCAGATTCCATCTGAGAAATTACAAAGAAAATAGACATTATAGAATTTTGAAGGATTGATATAGCTTTATGACCAATTAATTGGATGTGGATAGAAGGAAGTATCAAAAGTGCTTTTGGGTTGGAATCAGAATTAATTGATATAGGCAAGTTATAGGAATGTGTTAAGGCTGAGCTTATAAATTAAGTTTTAGAAAAGATTTTTAAGGTGTCTCAGAACTACATTTGTGGAAATATGATAGGGAATAAATAAGGGGGCAGCACTGTGGTTGCAAAATTAGAAGTCATTCACATAGTGGTTATAATTTAAGTTGTATATATGGATATTTAATTAAAGTGATGGAAGCCCTATGTTTGTATCTGTCAAAATTAAAAATGCACATATTCCTCAGCACAGCATTTTCACTTCAAGAAATTTATCCTAAAAAATTGTGCCATAGAATGATATATAGATAAATATATTAATTGCATATGGCAGTATATTAAATGAACATTCAATAAGGAGTTACTTAAATACATTGTATTATATCTGGCAGTGGAATACTTAATATTCATTACAAAGAATGAGACAACACAATGCTGACTGTCAGAACAATTTCTGTGTTATAAAGTGAAACAAACAAGGTATAGCCAGAATATAAAGCTTATTACCATTGTGTTAAAAGAAAGTAAGACCACACATATGTGTTTATATGTGTACTAAGTATCTTTGGAGTTATGTATTGAACATTAGTGCTTTTGGGAAGGTAAACTAATGGGAACTAGGTGGGGAGAAGATTTATTTTTCGCTTCTATATTTTTGTGTAGCTTTTGTATATATTACCTATTTCAAAAAAGTGAAGGAAAGATGATAGGCAGGCAGATGGATGGATGGGTGGTCAAGGGAGAGAAAAGTATAGGGAAATTGAAATGCTGCATATAAAAACTTGGAGAAACACTCTTAAATTTGAGAATTAGTCTTACTTAGAATCACATATTTACATTTATTATAATAATTTCATATTGTTTGTTTTATGATTATTTACTTGCCTGTCTTTCCCACTAGACTCTGAACTCCCTAAAGGATTTATTCACTGATATAAGCCCAACACCTTATACTCTACTTGGCACATAGTCAGAACTTGACAAATATTTTTTGAATGATTCGATTGAGTAAGTGAATAGACAAACAAATTTTCTCAGGGAACAGGGAAAAAAGTATTAAAAGTGGTAAACCAGTAACTGCTGAGAAGTAGGAAGAAACACGGGAAGTAATCTACTGTTAGTTTATTTTGGAAAGAAGTAAAAATCTCATTTTTAGGAATATTTTTGAGTATAAAATATGTATTTACTTAGTCATTTTTGCTGCAAGACACTCTGCTAGATATCATGGGGCATAAAAATCTGATGAAGCATAGGTCTCTTACCCATGAAGCATTTATTGTCAAAAGAGAAAGATAAAATACAAAATTTTTGGGCCTCCCCTGGTGGCACAGCTGTTCAGCGCTGGGTTGCAAGGCTGCCTGCAGCCTCTGCAGCGCCAGTTCGATCCCCGGCCACCGGAGAGGGTCCCAAAAAAAAAAAAAAAAACAAAATTTTCACAAAGTTTAAAGTGATAGTTATCACTGTCAGAGTACATGTCAAGGGCCATGTAACTTCATAGAAACATGAGAATTTTGCAAGGTGGGGTGAAAAGAGGCTTTCTAGAGGGAGCAAACTGGCCCCTACAACTTACTATTCTAAGAGTGCTTACAAGATTTATTAACTGATAATTGTTCAAAAAAAATTTAAACAGAAAAGTAGATTTTCAGACAAGCTGGGTGGTTTCTGTAGCATTGAAATCCCTACATTATTTTCTTGCTTGGCATTTTTTCCCCTTTTTTTAGGATTTTTGTTTTAGGAGTGTGCTATAGATGAAAACTAAATTTTTAATATTTTGAAGTATATGTGATATTTTAAAGTACATGAATAATTATAGCATTGTCTATAGCATAATTATAAATTATATAAAAATGTAATTATGGCATTTCTATAACAGAAAAATGAAAATTTAATTATGTTGAAGCAACTTTAGTAAATTGTAAGTTTTATATATGTAATTTCCAATTTTTTATTCTTTTGGGTTATCAAATGTACTTTTACATTCATTTTACTTTTTTTTTTGGCATAGAAGAACTGGGGTTTAGGCCAGAGTACAGGGATGAGAGGATTTACCAGAGACAGAGTGGGGAGCAGTACAGGCAGATTTAGTGATATACACTGCAAAGGAGAGCAGCAGGTGAGACAGCAGAGGTCTGCTGCACCCTATCATATTTGGGTTAGCGCCCAAGCCAGGGATCAATCTCAGAACATAGCAGTGGTAGCTTTTAGACTTAACCCATAGGCCACCAGGAATGCTGCCCCTACATTCATTTTGAATGTACTGTATAAATACAGTATAATTGCTTCTTGAACTTAATAGGATTGTTTTAATTACTACATTTATTATTTCTGGGCAGGTAGTATATGTGTAGATTATCCTTTTGGAACTTATTTAAATTGATTTTATTTCCAGTTCACCATACAGTTTATTATGCACAGGGTGCTTCCTAGAAATACAGAAAACTCAGTTGCTACAGAAAAAATACTAACATAGAATTTGTTTTTCAAATAAAATTGAAGCAGAAGGCAGTAAAATAAATAAAGCTATAAACTCAAACTGAAACACACACCAATGCCTATAGAGACTATGAGTTACCCAATTGGGCATATCTGTTTTGTGTAGGAGACTTGAATAGGTGAAACTGGACCATTGAAAAGTAAACCCTGATAAATTGATGACACTGAGCTAAATGGCAGCGTTCGCAAATCTTCATGTCCAACTTTTGTCCTGAAATAAACCTCATTAGTGGGATCACTAAAGTCATATAAGGAACTCAATTTTCACTCAGTTCCTATTTTCTTATTGATTTTTTTTCAAGATTTATGTATTTATGTATTTATTTATTTATTTATTTATTTATTTATGCAAGCACTGGATACAGTCAGAAGCGCGGGAGGGTGAGAGAATTCACCAGAACCAGAGCAGGGAATAGAACAGGCAGCTGATGAAATACACTGCTGAGGGGAGCAGCGGGCGTGGCAGGAGGAGAGGTCTGTCGCGCCACGTGGGACCCTCACGGGTGGCCGGGGTTTGAACCGGCATTGCAGAGGCTGCGGGCAGCTTCACAGCCCAGCGCTCAACCACTGTGCCACCAGGGGAGGCCCCTGCTTATTGATTTTTAATTAGCAATAACTTCCTTCAACTTGAGTTCAGGGTTGTTTATCCTGAAATATAAATACAACTGATACTTCCATTTCCTTATTTTTTCTTTATGTTTTTATCATCTAGTCTTTGTTCAGTCTGATAGACTGTACAGGAGTTAAGCATGCTCATTGTCATGCTTGTTTTACTATCTTTTGTTTGCCAGTATTACTTAAAATACTAAATAATTTTGATGGAATTGAATCGTGAGGGAAATCAATTCACACATTGTGAAAAAACATTTGTGGTTCCTTAAAGGCCTATCAGTACAATGGATTCCATATCTTAATTGCATTTAATTTGTATAAATTCGAAGAAATAGACACAGCAAAAAATAGGATGGATGGATGGATGAATGGAAGGGAGTGAGGGAGGTGATTCACAGAGTGACTTAAAGATGAGAAAGTGAATGTACTGTTCTTTTATTCATGTCAGTACTGACTTGCCTCCTTTGAGGGAGAATATAAATTATAGTTCTGAAAAATACATAGTTTCCATAAAATATTTTCATTAAGTGCATGATAACAACAGATGCTCATCTAACGAAAGTATTCTTTCAATGCTGTCAATGCTGGAGGAGAAACTGTGCAGGGAGTAACTATGTTGGGACTATGTTGCTCTTCAATGTAGTACCTTCCTAAGTAATTTACAAGGTGAGTTTGATTTATTATACTTAGTAATTTATGTGTTAGCTCCATTATAGTACATTTGCCTATTAAATAGTTAGTAAACAGGGACCTCCCTGATGGCATAGGGGTTAAGTCTCACTGCTGTCATGCTATCACCATTGTGACCTAAATTCGATCCCCGGCCAGAGAGCTGAC